TTTAGACCTATTTTTAAAGTTTGTTATTGGTTGTTAATTCTATCATTCATATTATTAGGATGGGTTGGACAATGTCCTGTTGAATATCCTTATACTGAAATTGGTATAATAAGTATGATTTATTATTTTTTCTTTTTTTTAATAATTATACCTTTCTTAGGTAAATTTGAAACATATTTAATACGTTATAAAATTAATAAATAAAATTTTATTTATTAATTTTAAAAAAATATTTTTATATAAAATATTTATCGTTTAAGTAAAAAATAAAAAAAAATATTTTTTATTTTATATATATATTATCTTATCATATGTTATTAACATTAATTTTTTTACCTTTTTTAGGTTCAGTAGCAGCTGGATTATTTGGTTTTTATGTTGGACGTAAAGGTTCAGTATTTATAACTACATTAACAACATTTTTAAGTTGTATTTTTTCATTAATTATTACCTATGATTCAATTACAAATGAATACGAATACATAATTTATATCTCAAATTGGATAAATAGTGGTTTGTTTAATTGTAATTGGTGTTTTTTATTTGATAGTTTAACTATGATAATATTAATCGTAGTAACTAGTATTTCAACTTTAGTTCATTTATATTCATCACAATATATGTCTAATGACCCACATTTATCGAGATTTATGTCGTACCTATCTTTATTTACCTTTTTTATGATTATATTAGTAACTGGAGATAATTTTATACAAATGTTTGTTGGATGGGAAGGTGTTGGTTTTTGTTCGTATTTATTAATTAATTTTTGGTTTACACGTTTACAAGCTAATAAAGCTGCTATTAAAGCGATGTTAGTAAATAGAATTAGTGATTTAATTTTATTGCTAGGTGTATTAACAGTTTTTTATAATATTAGAACTATTGAATATTTTAGTGCTTTTGCTTCTATCTCGATTGTTAAGGGGTATAAATTTTTTTTTCTTAACTATATTTTAAATATTATTGATGTTGCTTGTATTTTAATTTTTATAGGTGCGATGGGTAAATCAGCTCAAATTTTCTTTCATATTTGGTTACCGGATGCAATGGAAGGACCTACCCCTGTATCTGCATTGATTCATGCTGCAACAATGGTAACAGCTGGTATATATTTAACAACTCGTTGTTCTCCAATGTTTGAGTATTCAATGTTTTCATTAAAAATTATTACAATTATTGGTGCTTCAACAGCATTTTTTGCTAGTACAGTAGGTTTAGTTCAAAACGATTTCAAAAAAATAGTTGCTTATTCAACATGTAGTCAACTAGGTTACATGTTTTTTGCATGCGGATTATCTAATTATCCATTAGCTATTTTTCATTTATCAAATCATGCATATTTTAAAGCTTTATTATTTTTATGTTCTGGAGCAGTAATTCATGCAATGGGTGATGAACAAGATATTCGAAAAATGGGAGGTTTACGAAGAATTTTACCATTTACATATATAATGTTTTTAATAGGTTCACTATCATTAATGGGTTTTCCATTTTTAACTGGATTTTATTCAAAAGATTTAATATTAGAGGTGGCTTTTGCGGATTTTAGCGAAACAGGTCATTTTGCGTATTGGTTAGGTACAATTGGTGCTTTTTTCACGGCTTTTTACTCAACTCGTTTATTATTTTTTGCTTTTTTAAGTGAAACTAATGCTTATAAAAATATTATTAAAAATGCTCATGACGTACCATTAGAAATGGGTATTCCTTTAGGTTTATTAGCGTTTGGTAGTATTTTTATTGGTTATATTTCTAAAGACATGTTTGTTGGATTAGGTTCAAATTTTTGGAATAATTCAATTTATATAAATCCATTTAATAATCAAATGATTGATGCAGAGTTTTTACCGACATTCTTTAAATTATTACCAGTTATTTTAAGTTTTTGTGGATTATTTACGGCTTTTTATTTATATTTTTTTAAATTTAAATTTTTATATAATTTAAAAATTTCTGAATACGGTGTTTATTTTTATAATTTTTTAAACAGAAAATGGTATTTTGATAAAATTTATTATGAATTTATAAATCAATATATATTAAAAATTGGTTATAATGTAAGTTATAAAATGATTGATAAAGGTTTAATTGAAATATGTGGTCCTTATGGTTTAACGTCAACTTTTGCTTTTTTAAGTCAAAAAATAATTTTATTACAAACCGGTTATATTTATCATTATTCATTATTGATTTTTATTAGTGTTATTTTTTTAATAAATATTGTTTTTTTTT